TTGTGTGTTGCTTATGCCCTGCTGGTGTGTCTGAGTCACTGTTCCTTTCAGTGCAGTGGTTGTACTGACTCTCTGCCTGTTGTGGGCTGTACTTGCTCTCTGTGGTGTTAGCAGAACCCAGGCAGGCCATGTCTGAGGGGTCGTGCCCGCTGGGGAACTTGTGAAGGGGATGGTAGTGTTAGCACAGTTTGCACTGGGCCAATAGTCCTATGGGGAATCTCCCAATATGCTGTGGGCACTGCGTGCCAGGCTGGCCAGGGGAGTGAGGTGGGCACAGCTGGGCCTGGTGCACTGTGGCAGCTGAGCATTCAGTGGCGGGGCGGCATGTGCACACTAAAAAAATTTGTGCTGAGCCCAAGGCCAAGCCTAGCAGGCTTAGAGTGGGTGAGTCCTCTGGAGAGCTCATGGGTGTGGTGCCACTGCCAGCTGGTTAGGTAGCAAGGGTCTATGCAGTGCTGCCTCCCACAATTCTGTGTTTATGCTGTGGGTTGCAGGGGCGGGACGTGGGGAGGGTGGTGGTGGGGAATGGTCTCTGCCAGCTCACTCGTTTTCAGAGAAGTCCCCCAGCACGCTTCAAAATCAATGTGAACGGATCTGTCTCTCATATGTCCCCAGTGTTGTGTTGTGCAAATTGCCATCTTTATGTTACCTCTTGGCTCAGGCTGCTCTCTCTTTAAGGGTGGCTGCCAGCTTTCACTGACCCTCACCCTGGCTCATCCAGTGTTGAGTCAGCTGACTTTTAAAGCTACAGGCTTCAAGTCGCACTGGTTTTAAAACTCATGGAATTCAGCCCTGTTTTTAAAGCCAGACATTATGGGGATCAGTCTTCCACATGTGAGCTCCCTGGTACAAGGGCCCATTTCTCTCCCTCTCCACACACACAGCTCCCTCCCTCCTGCCAGCAGCCTGCCTTTGCCTTTCTGACCTTCCTAACCTTCAGATGCAGCTTCTTTATATTTAGTTGTAGAATTTATTGTTCCAGTCTTCAGATTGCATTCCGGTTTACTGACTTGGATGTAGTTGAAGTCTAGTTGTAAATGTGGGGACGGGGAGAACTCAGGGGCCTCCTCCTCGGCCATCTTCCCACAGTCTGTGAATGCCCCTGAGTTTGTTCTACACAGATGTCACTGAGTTTCTCAGATGCATGGACTCCTGTCCATGTTCATCCAACGTGGGATGTTCTGAGCTATTAATCCTTCAGGTATTATCTCTGCTGCTCTCTCTCTGCTTGTCCTGTCCCCTGGGAGTCTATAATGCATATTTTGATGATGTCCCATGGGTCCCTTAGGCTCTGTTCATTCTTCTTCATGTTTTTCCTTTCTGTTCCTCAGACTGGATAGTTTTAGTGCCCTGTCTTGAACTTCACTGATTCTTTCTTTAGCCTGAACCCTTCTGGAAATTTTTTTCATTTCAGCTTTTATACTTTTCAGCCACAGAGTTTCTCTTTGGTTCCTTTTAATAATTTCTATTTCTTTATTGGTAGTGTCCCCTTTTTTGTGTGTGAGAAAAATTGTTCTCCTGGTTTCTTTCAGTTCTTTGTGTATGGTTTCCCTTGATTCTTTGAACATATTTAAGACACTTAATACGTTTTTCTCCAGAGAGTCCAATGTCTGGGCTTCCTTAAGGCCAGTTTCTGGGTTTTTTTTTTCCCCTACAAATGGGCCATACCTTCCTGTTTCTTTGTATGCCTTCCAATTTTTTGTCGAAAACTCTTCATTCTGAAATTACAATGTGAGAACTCTGGGAATTAGAGTCTTCTCCCACCCCAGGGTTTGCTGTTATTGATTGTTGAGGCTGCAGTTATCTGTTTAGTGCCTTTGCCAAACTGTTTTTGCAAAAACTGTATTTCTTGTCATGTATAGTCACTGAGCTCTCTGTTCTGTTGTCTCAGTGGTCAGCTAGTGACCTGGCAGATTTTCTTAAACCACTGAAGCCAAAATGACAAAATTAAAAAATAAAAAAGAAATAAAAACAATAATAATAGCAACTAAGTTTTAAGAAACACACAGAACAACTTTCCTGGTCTTTGCAGCTTGGCTCTGAGCAGGGGTACTTACTTCCTCAGTGCTAAGTCCAGCCATCTGGAACTCTGCCTTAGACTGCACCTCTTCCCTGGACACAGCTCAGGGATCAGCCAGCACTGCAAATCTTTCTCTCACATCTTTCCTGAGCATGCATCTAGCCCTGGGGATGTGCAGTACATTCTGGATTCCCCGGTATATGCGACAGCCCTTCAAAGCCATTAGTCTTCCAAGAATCTTCTTCCTCAGCCTCCTCTTTCCCAGGCCTTTGGGTCTGTCCACTGTCCATCCACCATCCCTTACACCAGGTGACTGTGGGTAACATGTATCCTTAGATGCTTTCATCAGATGCCACCTCAAAAGTCACTTCAGCCTAAGGTGGGCAAAACAAAGGTCTGCCTTTTTACCGGTCCTCAGGGAACCACCACACAGGTCAGAACGCACAACCACACGTTTTTGAGAATGAGGTCCATATTGTTTTCCTTGCCACCCGCGGGCCACGCTAGGGACACAGGATGCCGTCCGCCAAGCCCTCTGCCTAAGCTGTGGAATGGGGATTTGTAGGTAGGTAAGGAAAAATGCTTTCATAGTGAAATTTAGCAGTTTCTTTCTTTAGTAAGTGTCCCCCTGGTTGCTATAAGGTTTTTATTAGATTCTAGAATTCTAAAAAGTGGATTCTGTTTTTGCCAGCTTAATGATTGCCTCAGTGGAAGGACTAATTCTTAGAGCTCCCTGTTCTGCCGTTTCTGTCACTCCCCCAACCCTAATGTTTTTGGTTTGCTTTAAGCAACTTAAAGCAACAAATATTTATTATCCCGTATAGCTTGTGAGGGTCAGGAACCAGCTTGCCTCTTAGCTGGGTGGTTCTGCCTCAAGGTCCCTTACAAGTTTGCATCCGAACTAGTAAGCCAGGGCTGTAGTCCTCTCAAGGCCCCACTGGGGCTGGATAATCCACTTCCTAGCTCAGTCACATGGCTGTTGGCAGGCCTCGCTGCACACTGGCTGCCGGCTGGAGCTTCCGTTCCTCACCATACGGACTTCTGCGCAGTGCTGTTCGCAGCATGGCCTGGTTTCCCCCAGAGCGGGAGCTGCATGAGAGAAAGACATCTCTTTCTGTATCCAACCTGGAGATAATTGTACTCTTCTTGAGTGAGAGAGAAAATTTGAACCCTGAGAAATTTCTTAGTGGAGAGGAATCGGCTTGCCCTTTCCCAGAGGCATTACCACTATGTGTCTCACTCAGCCTTATAGATGGAACCAAGAGACCCCAGGGAATTTCATAAACCTTGGAGTGGAGCAGCAGACCCTTCCAGTTGGCCTCTCATCCCCCTCCCTCAAACCTTCTGCCCTTCCTCACTCAGAAGGCTATTAAAATAAGCTTTCTGGACACCCAGGGCCTTAAAGATGACGCTATAACCTACTTCCCCACCATGTACCCTTGTAGATGTATTTGATGGTTTGATGTTTTAGGGAGGAAATGTGTTCTTTTTGGTTAAAAAAATGTGTATGTGTGAGTGAAGTAAGTGATTCTTCTGGAAGGCATTGTATTAGGCACAGAGGACTGCAAATGTGTATAGAACAGCCTCTTTTCTCAAGTAGCTATCATATAGAGGAGGAAATAGAATAGGTTGTTGGTCAAATATAAAATATCTTGGGACATCTGGGTGGTTCAGTAGGTTAAGCGTCCAACTCTTGGTTTGGGCTCAGGTAATGATCTCACTGTTCGTAGATTCGAGCTCTGCATCAGGCTCTGCACTGACAGCGCCAAACCTCCTTCAGATTTTCTGTCCCCTTCTGTCTGCCCCTTCCTGTTCACACATGTCTTTGCTTGCACTCTCTCTCAAAAATAAATAAATATAAACATTAAATATCAGGTAGCATTTGCCCCAGAATAGTGGTTGCCACAGTATTGATAAGGCAGATGCTCACATTCTCCTAAAGTAATAATATGAGAAGCAGAAGGAAACTGTGGAAGTGGCTAGGAAAGTGAGAGATCTTTGTGATTGTATTTGTTCTTAAGGTCTAGTAGCTTATTTCTCAACATAATGATTTTTGAGAACTTTTGCTGTCCTGCTTACAGGACGGAATCCTACTCATCAGAAATCACACAGTTTTATCCTCATTTATTTACTTACTTGTTGCCATACAGAAAGGCCATTAGTACCCACATATTTTTTTTAATTTGAAAAAGTAGGTTTGTGTTCCCAGTTTTATAACCACTGTTCTAATATCATTTCAGTATTTACAGAGGGGTTCATACAGTGAATTAGCCATTGGATCATAATAAGAATAGTAATACAAGCCAAGTCTACCAATTTGCTAGGTGCTATTTGTTCTTGAAGATGATAATGCTGCTGGTGTTCTTTTGTTGGAATGGGTGCATCTGGAAGACAAAGTTGGGAGTAGTCAGATTGTTAGCCTCTTACAAGTTGACCTTTTCTTGGCAAGTGCATCTCCCCTCTCATGGATGCTACAGGCAGGTGTTAAATATCCCAGGTGAGGGTAGTTCTGCCTCTTAGGTGATGGTTGGAATTGGAAATAGAAGAATGTGTATGCAACATTTATTTTTTACATTATTCAGACCTTAAGCTTGCAGTGGACTGGAGCTTGACCCATATGTAACAAGAATGAGCTTGCTCTGGAAAACTGTCCCTACATCCTAATATACATTGAAATCAGAGCAGCCTATACTCATTTTTGTATGTAGGAATTAAACTGTAGATTTTTCTTTTTGTGTAATTTAGACTATCACAGTTATAGATTCATATCTACTCTAGTTATAAAATTTAATTATTTCAACTAGGGCCTTAAATTTTACTTTTCCCCCTTCCAAAATGTAATCCATATTATCTCCTTTATTAATATGTTTCCAATTTGAGTATGTTCTTTTTTTCTTCTTTATTGTCTATAGTCAAACTGTGATTTCATTTTTTTAATAAAAAGTGAATTCTCAATTTCCATTTACTTTTCCTTCTCTAGACAATTAAATCCCACACGGAAACCGATGAGAAACAAACAGAGAGCCGTACCATCACTCCACCTGCTGCACCCAAACCAAAACGGGAAGAGAACCCTCAGGTAGGCTAAGCCCTTCAAAGGCATGGCTCAGTCTCTGAGATGTGACTTCTTCTCATGAACCAGGAGAGACACTTGCCCTCTGAATCACTTGATTTTCCTTTTCTTATGCTTCCACACGATTCAGTAATGTTATTGCCAAGTCACTTTGGCCTAAGGTCGATTAAGAGTGCGTCCTTGAGTGTCCCTGAGCTGGTAGACTGGCATTTCAGGCACATTTTACAAGTTTGAAATGTATGATTAGCAATCATTTTCTCAGGTATCCCACTGCATTCCTCATGATAATTATGTGTTGTTTGCCTCAGCCAACATTTCTAAGAAGTCCGTACGGTTCACTCAGCTGAGGTCTGCTTATGTTACTGATCATAGTTGTTATTTGTGCACTCTTGTTACTACTGGTATATTGCACCAGATTCTCAAATTCCAAATGAAATCGTAGCACAAAAGTAGTTCATTGAAGCATAAAAGTAGGGATTAAAATAGGAACATCTGTACCATAACTTAGGAAAGAGTTACAAACTCACATAGCAAACAGGACTGGTACAAATACAGAATATAAATTTGTGTGTCCCCTTAGACAAGAGAATTTTTTAGTTCGGGTTTTGCATAAGCAGCTCTAAAAGGAAAATGGGTACAGGTAATATTGATGATGAAGATCCAATAGTTGGATTTTATTAGACCAGCAGTCTATTTCCCTTTGTCCTCAGTGCATTCTTTTTAATGAAACCATTCGGAGAGTGAGTGACATGAAGCCATCAAACTTTATGTCCTTTTTTTTTAAGCAGTGATTTATTAAGTCAGGTTCAGGTTTTTCTAAAACAAGTACAAATTATAATTCTTTCTGATTTGAAATGGATTAATTTTTAATTTATCTTTAAAAAAGGGACCAAAACTTGAACCAGAAAGAAGTACCAGTGATGCAAATTGCTGAGGAACTTCTGAAGTCATCCACAGAATTATGAGAGGAAACCAGAGGATATCTTATGTTGGGGGCCCAGTGTGGGCAAGCAAGTACCACCATGTGCAGTGGCGGATATTTCACCTCCTAACTGGTGAAATCACTGCCATAAAGAGAATAAATTAGTTCTTGGCACACTTGTGATACATAGATAAGGCAGAAGTTCTTGACAACTGTTTATTCCCTGTATCACTGAAAAATCTATTCCAGAGGAGAGATTTCTTTTCCCCCTTAATAAGTTTTTTGTGAGCTTGATCTAGACTGGTGAAGATGAGTTGGATGTGACTGGCCAAGAAGAATACTGTTACTTGATCAGAAGATGGCCTCTGAATGTCAGTCCACACACTGCTTTGTTAACAGAGAACAGTTGGCTGACAGCCTTCTACTCTTGATTAAGTTGTGAAGAATAGTGGAAAGTAGGAATGTAGTTAATTGCCAGTCACAAAATGTATGCCATGGCAGCAAGTACCAAGAGTGCTTTTCCTTGCTAAAGTGCCCTGGCTGTCAGAGGCATAGGTGCCCACCTAAGTTTTTTAAAATAAGAAATAAAATAAAAGTATTTCTTCAGAACTCTGAGGATACCAGTAAAGAACACTTCTGTGTTCTCAAGTGGCTTGTTCAGGGACTGTTTCTTCCTAAAACACTCAGTATCTTAAATAACTTGAACCTATCACTTCAGGCCAAAATAACCATAGTATTGAATGTTGAGGGTAAAACATCAGGATATTTAAAGATCAAACTATGATATGAACAACTCTACATGAATATGTCTCCTAACAACTGATGATGTTCTTTATTATCTGTGAGAGAAATTGATGATGATATATTATTTGGCATACTTAGCAACCACATGCAAATCAAGATGTGCTTTCCAGACCACAGAGCAAAACAGGAATCAGGTTGTTGCTTCCTCCAGCTAATCATCTAATGCTCCAGCTTTGGGGTTCAGTATTCTAATCAATTTAACTTCTGATGGAGCTCTGGTGGGGAGTGGTCTCCAAAGAAAGATTGCTCTGTAATTTTTAGGTCCATGTTTGATTTGAAAATCATAGTATTAAGCATAACCATCTATTATTGTTCCTAAAACTCACTTAGCTTGGAGTTAGCACTGTTTAGTCATTGGTAGTAAAAATGTTAGAACCTCTGACCTGTTAGGACAAGTGAAATACTTAGAATTTGGAGCTTGTTGTATGGGAGGCTCTTTGTAACCCTCTGCATTTTTTTGAGTGTGAAATCGTCTTCCCATCTAAGAGGATGTTTCTGGAGAACAGAAACAAAAACAAAAAACCTTAGGGCACTCAAAGATACAGATCTCTGTCATTGAGAAAGAAGAACATGCAGGCCGCAGTCCTTCTCTTTTGATCCCTGCAAGACCAGAAAGCCTCTGGAGTGGCTCTAGAAAGTGTCCTTTCTTCGGTCACCTGAACCTGGCCCCCTTCAAGTGACCAGCCCATTGGACTGGCTTTGCCTAGGAATCTAACTAGGAACATGCAGTTGGCTTTGTGAGAACCCAAACTGAAGTATATTCTTGTTTCTCTGGCACAGAAACTTGCCTTCATGGTGTCTCTAGGATTGGTAACACATGACCATCTAGAAGGTAAGAGAAGATATTCATGGTGCTGCCTTGTTTCTGGCCCAGAGCTTTGTTCTTGAAAATGGGGTTGAATTTATTGCTGAGATATAGAATAGGATATTGGAACGCCAATAGAGTATGATTCAACTAGTGTGGACTTTATTTCCTTTGGAATCAAACTCGCCTCTCCTCTATCTGATGGTCATCCCCTCCCTTCCCTGTTCTTATCAACACTGCTGTCCAGGGGATACTCCCCAGTTGCCTGGATTAAAGTCATTTTTTTTTCTCCCTGACAGCATGGAGTATCAAATGCCCCTCTGACAAGTCTTTGTATTTTTCAGGCACTCTAGGTTATCAGAATCTTAAGAACCGTTACAAGCCTACACCTGCCCTAGTTATTTAATTCAAGAGTGGTGAACTATGGTTACTCAGTCTAGGTCTATGGATAAAGTTCATTCACACCCATATTACAGTGATCTAAAAATAGATGAAGACAGCTTATTTACACGCCCTGCCTACTGTTAAGCTCTTGGTCACAGAGAGCCACATCGTAGGACAGCATGGTCTTGCTTTCTGAGAGGTGAGAGTAGCTGGTCCTACATATCTGCTCCCAGTGGTATGCTTGCCTCTGCTGAGGCTTCAGTGAAACAAAGAGATTTGCCCCATTTCTGATTTGTCATGGGAAAACCAAACAATAAAAAATGAAGTTAAATTTGTGAGGTTCTCCACATCTCTCTTCTAATTCAGACCTTTTACTTTCCCAAGAAATCCAAAGCAAGAGGCAAGAGCGAAAAAGAAGAACAACAGCAAATCCAGTGTACAGCGGAGCAGTCTTTGAGCCAGAGGTATTCCTGGCCAGGCTTGGCCCTTCCCTCACTGTTCTAGTTTTAGTTACGGTGTTTGTCATCGCCTCCCATCTGAAAACCTGCTGGAGAGAGGCACCCTGATTATACTCGGCCAGCTTTGTGAAGTGATGGGTTTTTCTCTGGCCGATCATCCTGTTTCATTTTTATTTATTCACTGCTTTCCCCTTAGTTTTTTTCCTAAGTTTGAGCAAATACAAACCTACCTTAAAATTTTAACTCATCTTGGCTTCAATGCAACTGTCACCTAAGTGGAGGCAGACCTCTCTGGAATATTCTCTCAGAGCCAAGTATATATAATAAAACCCATTTAGCACTGCGACCTTGGGGTGACTGGCACTAACTCGTTGGCATGTTGACAGGCTTGCGATACTTGGTCTATAGCTTGTGGCAATATCAGTAGTAACCGTGCTATTCAACCAGTTACCTTTCCTTCTTCAATCCTCAAAGCGTAAGAAGAGCGCAGTCACATACCTGAACAGTACAATGCATCCTGGGACCCGGAAGAGAGGTGAGTACCTTTTTGTAGCTCTCCCTTGCTGTTGCTTCTGCTTTCTGTGTTGTGTTTCTTCCCCTTCCTCCCATTTGTCCTAGAGCCTAACTCCTAAATCCCTTGAAAATAGTTTTGTTATTGTCGTTCTCTGAAAATGGGGGTGGAGGGGGTGGGGGAAGACAGTGAGATTTCTTATTAGAGTTTGTATACGGAATCAACAGTTGCCTTTCCTTGGATTCTGGCAAGGCTGACTCAAAGAAATGGCTTAATACAGCATTTCTGCCCCAGGCCCACCAGGCTGTCCATGAATAGCACAGGGAGCAGAACATCGTGTGAAAGAAAGCATTTTAGCATCATCGAGCATAACAGAGCACTACTGTTGTCAAGGTGTTCTTAGTAGTGTCTGAGTTGCCCCGCTGCCAGCGAGACCAGAGCATGACTCAAGTTTCTGTGAGCCGCAGACTTTCCAGGAAGGAGAGAGGTGGCCACACCGAGAACTTAGAACCTATGAGTTGAGGACATCTCCAACAAACGAAGAAAGGTCATTGTCAAAACTGGCTCCCCGAAGCAGAGGTTCCTAAGAAGCTCCATCCCCATATTTCAGACCTCCCAGGGTGGGCGTTGCACCTTAACTTGTGGGCAGAGATAGTACACTCTCTGCAGGTCTAATAGCTGAGAGTTTGAGCTCATATATAGGGCTCTGAAATTGTTCTTTGATGTCAGTAATACATCCCCAGGTCCCTTTCGCCACATGATAACGTGTCCCTGAATTACAGTTCCTGGCGAGAAAGGTTGCACAGTGAATGGAGTAGCATCCTAATTTTTGCATGTGCTCACACTGTCTCAGGAGCCATCGGAATGACCCATTCTAGTGCTTCATAAGCCCTGTCCTTTAAGTAGCCAGAATACTTCCAAGGGAAATCCCAAGTCATTGCTTCCTATCGATTCCTGTGCCACAGTAGCCAGTGCCGTGGGTTATTTTTTGTGATTTTAATTTTGCCAATTTTAGTGACCTTTGACCCATTTCTCAGAAAGGAGCTCCCAGTCAAAAGCCACAGTTAATTAGTCTGCTCGTGAGGAGTATCTGATAAGAGGACGGGGGTTAAACAGGCCAGAAAGATCTTGGCATCGCTTGCCAAGGTCAGAGGATGAAAGCCTGTATTCACAATGCCTAGGATGTGCTTCTGTGGGTAAACAAAGAACAGTCGTCTTTTCCTTCTCCTTTGGGCAGCCCTGACTCCCTAGAAAAGACAGCCTGTATGATCTGTCTTTGTACTGCAACAGTGCCAGTTCAACACAGATAGGTAGTATTCGTGTAATGTCTGTCTGACAGAAGCATGGCTCTTAATGCATGATCCGATATAAATTATAACTATTGGCAAAGTTGTGATCCTCTGTACCCTTCACCAGTGCTCGTAGGCAGTTGTGAGCCTCTCTGGCTTTTTAAATTTTCTTTCTCTTTTCCCTTTGGTGTGCTGAACATACACTTTTGATCACCTAAAGCTTAGAAGCTCTGATCCTGGCCCTTCTGACAAGGATCCTGGCTTGGATGTATCATAAGGCAGGAGTGAGTGGTTGACCAGTGTTGCTATAGCCATCAGGTCCATTTATTGATCCTCTGTAGGCATGAGGCTTGATTCCCAGTGCCCTGGCTCAAATCCGTCTTTCAGCAGGGTTTCTGAGCTTTTGTAACAGGCCCCAGTCCGTCGATGTGTAGTTTACCAGAATGTTTGTGATGGAAGCAGGGAGACAGTTCTTGGTCAGACAGGGATGGTGTCTGACTCCAGACACACTTAACAATCATTGTGAAGCTCAGAATATCTTTTTAGCTCTTCGGTTCCAGCTAGTCCCAGGGCATATTTCCTGCTGGCTCTGCCAGCAAGGGGTAAGAATAGTTAACTTGAATTTTGCCTCCTCAGTTTGCCATTCTCCACTCTCACAAACAGTGAAATGACCAAAATACAGATAGGAGAGAAAAGAAAAAAAAATAGAAATCTTAAGTAAATCTATCTATGGAAACTGGGAAGCACTAATGATTGTGAGAATGATGGTTACAGAGAAACCTTAGAGAACAATATACAGAAGGTGTGGATAAACAAATTCTTATTCCTAGCTCTGACCCCCCATTGAGCTTTGACATCTTGTTCTCACATTAGAAATCTCAAATAGTAATAGTCCAGGAACGTCACCATGATCTGCCCCAGGCGAGGCACCCTTTAACATGACGCAGCCACTCCTGTCATTCTCCAAGGTGCTCTTATCCTCCTTTCTTTTGAGACTCATGTAGTTGTTTCTAATGACATTTAAATCTTTGCTTTCCCTCCCTCTCTTTGGGACTGTTGTATTAACCTTCTGTCTGCTACCTCACTTCCTTTTCCATGCTAGCCAATGAGGAACACTGGCCAAAGGTATGTAAGATCATTTTTCCCCCTTTCTTTCCCTCCCCCTTTTTCCCTTTTGTTCCCTTCTCTTGGTATATAGGTCGTCCTCCAAAATACAATGCAGTGCTGGGGTTTGGAGCCCTTACCCCAACATCCCCCCCATCCAGTCATCCTGACTCCCCTGAAAATGAAAAGACAGAGACCACATTCACTTTCCCTGCACCTGTTCAGCCTGTGTCCCTGCCCAGCCCCACCTCCACAGACGTAAGTAACTTGGGAAAAGCACGCTCTCTTCCTGAAAGCTTAAATCGGGGAAGCCGTTATCATGTGTTGTCTCCTTCCCAGCCGCACCTCCTTGACTAACCCTGGGACAGCAGTAATCCCCACAGGACACTGTATGCCATATAAGGTCCTGCCGTGTCCTTGAGAATCATGTACAACATCAGGAGGCTGAACCAGTTTTTAAAATGTGGATTTGATCTGCTGTGAATGTGCTCTCAGGAAGGGGGATGGGGTGGGAAGTCAGCTCATAAAATTGAAAGGTGCTCAGTTTTCCCATCATCCATGTTTTGGGGTGAGGAAAATGAACAAGGTGTATATTCCCCTAGCGGTCCTTGTTTCCTGCTTCAGGTAGAATTCAAGAAGTGGAAAACTTTTCTTTCAAGCAGCTTTATTCACCAGAGTTGATCGAACAGGTTCCTGGAAAAGTGTTGGATGATTAGTAGTTTGTCATGCAGATACTGCAGGATTGCAAACTAGTGCCCTAAGATTTTATTTTTTTGTTTCTTGTTTTTAGTAATTTATTTTTAAGTTTAAAATTTTAATTCCAATATAGTTAACATGCAGTGTTATATTAGTCTCAAGTGTACAATATAGTGATCCAACAATTCTGTACATTACTCAGTGCTCATCTAGATAAGCGTTCTCTGAGTCCCCTTCATCTGTTTCATCCATCTCCCCACCCACCTCCCCTCTGGCAACCATTAGTTTTCTATAAAGTGGCCTGAGATTTTTTAAAACATTTTTTAACATTTATTCATTTTTGAGAGACAGAGAAACAGAGCACAAACAAGGCCATGGCAGAGAGAGAAGGAGACATAGAATCCGAAGCAGGCTCCAGGCTCTGAGCTGTCAGCACAGAGCCTGACCAGGGCTCAAACTCCAGAGCTGTGAGATCATGACCGGAGCCGAAGCCACTTAACCGACTGAGCCACCCAGGCTCCCCATAAAGTGCCCTAAGATTTTAAGATCTTAAGATTTTTTTTTTTTTATATTTTTATTTCTAGGAGAGAGAGAGACAGCGTGAGCAGGGGAGGGTCAGAGAGAGAGGGAGATACAGACTCTGAAATAGGCTCCAGGTTCTGACCTGGCAGTCAGCACAGAGCCCGACACAGGGCTTGAACCCACGAACCGCGAGATCATGACCTAAGCAAAAGTCGGACGCTTAACCGACTAAGCCACCCAGGCACCCCAAGATCTTAAGATTTTTAAGAGCATTTACAAAGCAGTGAGTTCACTCAGCAAATACTTACTGGGCACTACTGCTCTGTGGCTCAAGTGCTGTTATGGAGGCTGGGGAAAGAACAGGGAACAAAACCAGCTCCCTGCCCTCAGGGCGCCTGTATTATATTATACGTATATTATGTTATACGTATATTGTATTATATGGCCAGAGGCAGGTGATAAGCAAGTGAACATATAAAAGATATAGTGATAAGTACTGTAAAGAAAACTGGGACAGAGTAAGGGGGATAAGTAGTTGTAGTGGCAGGTTCCTATTTTATGAAGAGGGGAAGAAAAGGCCTCTCGATAGGAAGTGACCTGTGCGAGAGCGTATTGTTGGGGGGGGGGGTCATTTTGTGCATTGTGCAGGGGGAACAGCAGTGCAGAAGCCCTTAGGCGGGCATGCACATGGTATGGAGAGAAAGCAAGAAGGTCAGGATGGCTGGGAAGAGGGGGTGGTGAGATGGCAGGAGAGGAGATCGAGGAGATCCCCAATGTGGCAGCGCCGAGGGTGCAGGGCCGTGGGGCTGCTACTCAAAGTGAAATGGGGACCACTGGACAGGTTTGAGTAGAGGAGTAACGTAAAGTTTCAAACCTACAAGAAGTTGCAATAAAATACAAAAGACAAATGTATACACCTTTCACCTAGATTCACTGATTGTTACCACTTTGCCACATATGCTCCCCCTGCGTACATACACACACACACACGTTTTTGCTGAACCAGTTAAGAAGTTGCAGACATCATAAATCTTCACCTTAAAAACCTTCAGCATATGTCTTCTCAGAGCAAAGGTATTCTCTGATACTGTCACAGTTATCAAATTGAGGACATATTAAGTAAACATTATTATATAATACATAGTCCAGATACAGATTTCACTAGCTATTCAATAATTGCCTTAGTGGTGCTTTGTTTTTTCTGCTCCAGAATCCCATTTAAGGTCACTCTTGATACTTGTCGTCATGGTATTGTCTCTTTCTTCTCCTTACCCTGGAACAGTTTCTCTGCCTTTCTTTGTCTTTCATGACACTGACATTTCTTAAAAGGTAGGACAGTTCTATAGAGTGTCCCTCCATTTGGATGGTCTCATTGTTTCCTCAGGAGTAGATAATCTTCAGGGCATGCATTTTTGTAGAAACACTCAGTGCGTGATGGTGAGTCCTTCTCAGTTCATCACAAGTGGCGTGTGTTGTCAGTCTGTCCCATTGTTGGTGAAGTTAGCTTTTATCTCTTAATTAAGATAGATCACATCAAATTTCTCTACTTATAAAGGTGCTTTATTTTCTCTGGCAGAGGTAGCTTTGAGTCTATAAATAGCCAGTTCTCCAACAAACTTACCGAATGGTTTTATCATCCTTTGATGGTTCTTGCCCGCATTTACTATTTTTAAGGTGTTTACAAAATCAACTTGGATTTTAAAAGGTTCGCTGTGTCTGAAACTTGGAGAAGAGACTGTGGAGAGGATAGGATGTGAGCAGGGAGACCAGTGAGGAGGCTGGGGCAGTCATCGGGGCAAGAGCTGAGGACGGCTTGGCCAGATAAGGTGGTAGAGGTAGAGATGGAGACATGTGGCCGAGTCTGCGTATGTTCTGAAGAGCCAGCAGGATCAGATGATGGGATATGAGAAGAAGAGAGTTGTCAAGGGGGAAGCCAAAGTGTTTGGCCTAAGCAACTAGAAACTAGGAAGAAACTGTCATTAACTGGGGATGGCAAGAGGGGCAGGTTTGAGGAGGGAAAGCCAGAGTTTCATTTTGTACATGTCCCATTTCTTGTGTGGATTACAGAGCTTGTCTTTAGGGTTATCTTCAGGTAAAATATCCCTTGAGCTGGAAGGTTCTCAGTGCTTCCTAATGAGTGCTTCGTTCTTTGCCAAAGAACGAAAGAATACCATGTGCACATTCTGAGTGAAAATCCCAGAAGCAGCAAAGGAAGTGTCCTCTTTGGAGGACCGGGTCATACTGGAGTTCTGTTCCCTGGCCGGCTTCCTTCCTTGGACACAAATGGTGACTAAAGACTCAGCCTTGCTCTGACATTCAGTGTTTCATCTAGCCTGCCTGACCTTTGGCATTAGTAATTGATAAAGGTGCCCTGCCTGTCCTGTGTCATGAGTACCAGTAGTCCCTGTCAGAAACCCAGTTTGCTGGCACCAGAGATTGTCCCAACTCTTCTTCAGCCGAAGCATTGGCAGAGGGATTGCCAGCTCATAACCTCTGGTAGGGGTCTCCCACGGCAGGGTACAAGTGCTGGGGACAGAGGATTTGTGGTTCTGCGTGTGGGTCTCTTTCAAAACGTTGTTGTTTTGGTTTTCGTACTTTTTGGCTGATGGAGGTTTATGGCTTTCTTTGAGAGACTCAACCCAAAGGATCTACTCAGATCAAATCACAAGGGAAAAGCTTTGGCCAGGTTTCTTCTTAAAGTGCAAACACTGTTCTTTTCAGAAATCCAAAGGTAAAAGACAGCTTTTCTTAAACCATTAAATATGTTAAGATTGCCTAAATTAAACCTAGTGGAATGGATTTTTTAAAGATAATTGACTCCTACTTTTATCATATTCCAGCAGTGGCAGTGATTAAAATCAACACACAGGACTGTCTGTATGTTTGCTGCTGGGTAGCACAAGCCCCAACAACATTAATTAAACAATCACAGTTGAGAGGCAGGCATTTCCTGAGGATCAATAACCATCAAGAAGGACTTGGAATACAAAACCCAGCCAGGCGCTAATCCTCAGGATATACCTTGTTGCCACTATCATTTTATGAGAAGGGAAGATGTGTTGACATAGTTGTAAAATTCTTCTAGCAAATGATGAAGTTGCAGTTGATCTAGCCAGGGTGTTCCCAAAAACCATACAGCCGCAGCCCCCAGCAAAGTTTCATGAGTCAGCCGTCTTGCGGTTTAACATTGGGTTTATGGTGGTAGTCAGTCACCGGAGCCTGAGCCTTTTGACCTCGAGCAGCACCTCCATGGGAATCCTCTGCTGTCTTTAGGCTAAGCAGAGAACCAGTTCTGGGTAGATAAAATCTATACCTTAGCATTTTATTATTCATTTCTATAGACAGTAGTTCTCCAAGTATGGTCCCTGAGACCCTTTCAGGGGTCAAAACTATTTTCATGATAATACTGAACTATTCTTTGCCATTTTCATTCTCCTTCTCTCAGGAGTAACCAGTGGAATTTTCCAGATAATATGTGACACGTAACAGTGTCATAACTCTGATGGCTCGTGGAATGTGCACTTGTGTGTTCTGGGGCTTTAAATTTTTTCAGCACACTATTTTTGTAATGTCCTGTGATTCTATAATTCAAAATTTGAAAGTTTAAAAATTTCTAACATATTAAATATCAACAAATATAATTCACATAAACAAAAGCTCTTTGAGGTCCTTAGTAATTTTAGAGTGTAAAGGGGTCCTGACAGCAAACAAACTGAGAAGTGCTACTCTAGAACATGGAAATAGATTGGAGGTCTTCTTTCCTTTAGATTGTTTACATGCTCTCTGCTGTCCAGTCCTGACACGCTCCTTACTCGGGAGCAAAGGAAAGTGAGCAGAACGCTTACTCGACAGAATAAATGTCCAGTTTGTTTTGCTTACTTCATCACTGATAGTTTATCTATGATTTATGTAAAACAGCCTCTGAAACCTTAGAATTTTTATACACTTGATAAAGATGAAGATTGACACAGAACTAAGATTCAAGAAAGACCATTTTTCTAGAGAAGAGTGCCCTTCAGCCTGATTTTAAGAATGAAAAAAGAAAGTTAATCAAGGGATGAAACTTTAACCTCTTTTGCTACCTCAAAGCCGAGCTGTGAGGCTGCATTCTCATGTAGTGTTTTTGCTCGTATACTGAGGTTTTGTTTTGTTTGTCTGACTTTGTGGTTTTTTGCCCAGAGATAACACTTTTTTTTACTAAGAGAGTTTAAAATCTGTCCACACTTTGATTATCTTCCAAACTACTGAAGCCAGTTTTCTAGGCTCTGCATACCCTAGCGAATTATAGAGAGTTCCCTTTTCTTGAGAGAGAAATTGTAGGTCTGGGAAGATCTGTGCCTTCAACAGTGGTGGTTGAGGCGTTATATATCATAGAAAGGAAGACGTGAGCATTGCTGTCTGTGTCTTTTCTTTGCTTCCTGTGTGGATTTTCTCTGTGAGGCCTTCTGGCGGAATAGCCTAGAAATCTGAACCAGCACACTGACAGTGAAAAGGGGTCTGCTCCAGGCTGCTCTGCTGGCTCACCTCCAGCATGTCCCTTCTTCAGCCTTCCCTTCCCTCGTGTCTTTATCCATCCCATCCCCAGAACAGGCCAGCAATCGACCTGCTGAAAAATACCTTTTACCTAAATACCTTTTTTTCCCCTAGTGTTCTCCTCTCCAATTTAAGTAGATCTGCTTTTTTTCTGATGGTTCCTTCTGTTCAGAGGGCTCTAGCAGACTTACCTGAGTACCAGAACTATCCATGGTGAGGGAGGGGAGACAGGCAGAGTGCACTGGTGACATATTTTACAGGGAGAAACACAGCCTCCTAGAATAGAATGGTCCATTGAACAGCAAGTGCAAATACTGGTTTTAAGAGAACATTGTCTGCTGTCGCTTTGGCTTTTTAAATTCTTCATGTTGGAAGGCTCATGTGAGTTTAATTTGTTCCTTAATCTTTTCCCATTGAACTTGCACTATATTTTTTTCTCCCTGAGCAAGCAAAGAGTTTAGTAAAATTCTGTATTCCGTTCCTTGTCTGTCCTCTTTCCCAATCCTTTTTTTTAAAATTTTTTAAATATTTATTTAATTTTGAGAGAGAGTGACAGAACAGGAGTGGTGGGGGGGGGAGGGCAGAAAGAGAGGGAGACACAGAATCTGAAACAGGCTCCAGGCTCTGAGCTAGCTGTCAGCACAGAGCCCGATGTAGGGCTCAAACCCATGAACCGTGAGAGCATGACCTGAGCCGAAGTTGGACGCTTAACCAACTGAGCCACCCAGGTGCCCCATCCTCTTTCCCAATCCTAAACTCCCCTGAAAAATGGTGGGTAATGAGAATTGTTCATATCATATTGTGGAACACTTTAATGAGTGGATTTCAGTGTCTTCAAACTTTATGATTTGTGGGTTGGACTCTACCAAAACATACTTAAGTGCTGAGCCATCACTTGTAATGTTAACTGGGGCCTAGATGATTACCCGGCTTTCCTGTAAACTCAACTCTAAGGGTACCATCCCTGTCGGGGAGCCTCGGCTGTGTGGAGCAGTTGGGGGCTGAGCCATTAGTAATTCCTACTTTCCTTGAATACTTTGGTAACATGTTGGAGGGGACACAGCTGATTGTCCTAAAACACATATTCAGAATGTGCATGTTAACATTGATATTTTACCTTTTTTGTCCTTTCTCTTACCTTTCCTCTCAATTTCCTAGGGTGATATCCATGAGGATTTTTGCAGCGTTTGCAGAAAAAGTGGCCAGTTGCTCATGTGTGACACGTGTTCCCGTGTGTACCACCTGGACTGCTTAGACCCCCCTCTGAAAACAATTCCCAAGGGCATGTGGATCTGTCCCAGATGTCAGGACCAGGTATGTACTGTGGGTGGGTCAGTCAGAGACATGGGCTGAGGAGGAGAAAGCATGGCCAGGAAGGCCTCCTTGCTCCTCGGATGTAGGGGAGCGGCAGAGTCTCTCACCTGTCCTGGTGGGTCTGCAGGCCGCCTCTGGCCTCTGCTCCCGGCACCACACTCACCCACGCGGTGTCCATCGTCTCAGGGCCTCTGTCCTGTCACTGAGGCGGCGATTCTGTGTACAGGTCGGAAGACCCTGACTGCTTCCCTTCATTTGAAATGACTCCTCTTCTCATGACTTCGCCCCGTCAAGGCCGTGAGACTTTCTGCCTCTTTCTCTAAGAATGGTCCAAACCCAGGATGTGGTTTCGAGACTTTTCTTTTAGAAGTAAAACCCTTAAAGGAAAGTGCCCAATTGATTATTTAATTCAAATAACAACAGTTTCACCTTTAACCTGCATTGTCACCAGGATAAGTGGACTCACTGTAGAGCAGCTTACTGCTTCATGGACCTGAAAGCAAGCAGTAGCTGTCCTAGCCTCTTCCCCTCTTCTTTGTTTAGTTTCGGATCTCTTTTTCTCAACTCTCCGTGCACCTGTATGTTATTATAAGTCGTCTCAGCCTGTTGTGGAAGTAGGCGAAGTATAAATAAAAAATGGGCCTGAAAGCTCAGCAAGCATTGGGATGCTACTCAGTTCTCTGGAATCCTGTTTGGGAGAATCCTGGTTTCCCTCCTTTAATGTAGGTTCTCCTCCTCCTGTCTTCCTGAGGTGGTAGAGACCATTCTCTTCTGTTCTCTTCCTGATGCTGCTCTGTGACCCTCTGATCATTTTCTACATGAGATCCAGATTACACTTAAGTATTTGGAATGGATACGTAATTTCTTTGCTCAGGCTGTCTTTGAGGGAAATATAAAACTAAAATTGAGACAGGTAGGGCACCTGGGTGGCTCACTTGGTTGAACATCCGACTTCAGCTCAGGTCATGGTCTCATGGTTCATGAGTTCAAGCCCCGTTTTGGGCTCTGTGTTGTCAGCAAGGAGCCCACTTTGGATCCTCTGTCCCCTCGGCTCCCTGTACCTCCTTCCCTCGTGCTCTCTCTCTCCAAAAGAAACATTAACAAAAAAATAAAATTCAGACAGGCAGGTCAAGGCTGAAACTACCAGTGGCTGCTGCCCTCGTGCAGGCTTGTAGCTCGTACACCCGTGGTTCTGGCTGTCAGAGTACGTGGGCGTTCTGTGACACATATGAGGAGATAGGCATGCCCGGCCTGGTGCCAGCCTCCTTCTAAGCTGGGGCTCGGGTGGCTTGGTTTTCCCTACCATTGAACCTCATTCTGTGAGACTAGTATCTGGAACTTCGTAGTATCTGGAACTTCAGGGGTTTTATAAGCCTCCTCACCATAAATCCTTCCTGGATTTTGTCTGCCATTTGCTATAGACACGTTGCTTGTTACTACACAGGGGATGTGTGTTTATACCTCCTTTCAAGGTAAAATTCTAAACTTCATTTCAGATGCTGAAGAAGGAAGAAGCAATTCCATGGCCTGGAACTTTAGCAATTGTCCATTCCTATATCGCCTACAAAGCAGGTAAAGAATCATCCGCATCCCCTTCTGTGTCAGCCTCCCCTCGCTTAAAAAAAAAGTACTGGAAGGAAGCGTTTGTTTTGTTTTTAAAGGAAGTTTAAAGTTAAAAATGAAAAGCTTTTACTGCACAAAATGAAAAGCTTGTTTAGTACTTTTCTTGAGGAGGAAAAATGAGAAAGCAACATCTTATTTAGGTAGAGCCAGGCCCACACTGCTGTCTTAGCAGACCTAGAAACCTAGAAAGGGGAGGGCTGGGGCCCCAGCCACCCCCCTAGGTGGCTCAGTCAGTTGAGCGTCCGACTCTTGATTTTGGCTCAGGTCACGATCTCGTGTTTCCTGGGTTCAAGCCCTGCATCAGGGTCTGTGCTGACAGCATGGAGCCTGCTTAGGATTCTCTGTCTTCTCTCCATCTTGTGCACACGCTTTCTCTGTTTCTCCCAAAAATAAATGAACTTTTTTTTTTTTTTTTTAAAGGAAAGGTCTAGGTGGGCATGTTCTTCACAGTGGCTGTGGAGCTCAGGGGGAGCTTTGGGCAAAATGCCTGCTTTGGCCACCATTCTGAACACAGTGGCCTTTTCAAAGAATTTATTGTTAAAAGCAGTTCCTTTTTTTTTTTTTTCAGCAAAAGAAGAAGAGAAACAGAAATTACTTAAATGGAGTTCAGACTTAAAACAAGAGCGAGAACAACTAGAGCAGAAGGTGAAACAGCTCAGCAATTCTATAAGTGTAAGTAAGCTCATCCCTTCAGTGGTGGGTGCAGATATAGCCCTTTTCACATGGATGACAGTACTTGGGGCTCCCGAGGGCCTTTCAGGTCCTCAGCTCATCACCACAGTTAACGTGGCCAGACACCAAGTTTGCCTCCAGTTATAGTTTTGGCCCTCAGGACAGGTTGGTATATGGTACTATCCCCAAGCTCTGGAACCCCCTGATCAGATCTGAAAGTGGATTTTCAGTCTCTGGGCTGAAGATGTGAAGTAGCAGCTACCGCAGTATGGCCACCACCCCCGTGTGTTCCGGAGTGGGTTTGGGAGGGGGTATGGAACCTCTTCCGATGCCGGGCGGACGCAGATCCAGTCCCTGCGTAGAAGCCTTTCCTCACCATCCTAGTTAGTGGTCTTTCCGCATGGCCCTCCCCTCCCGTCCTGTCTTCCACACCCTGCCAATGGTGTCTCCGGGTGTCGCTGACCCGCCTGAGGAAAAGGTTCCTGGGGACAAGTGCTGGACATAAGCATTGCCCAGCCTGGCCTGTCCAGGTGGGAGCCAGGGTTGTGTTTGCAGCAGAGATTCTCAGCTCCCCCCCCGCCCCCCCAGAGCAAGTTTTATTTCTCAGTGAGTAGGCCTGCTCCCCTTATTGGAGTGAGGTGGCCTCAGCCCTCATGGACACCAGGTAGCCTGAACTTGGTGGCAGTGAGCTGTCCCATTCAGCTACTTTCCCCTCGTCACCTGCTACCCATGGCACGCAGCTTTCATATCTCTTTCCCTGCCCAAAACAGACGCCAGCAGCTGCAGGGGACCTTGGGCAAAAGGACAAAAAACCACAAGTCCGTGACCGAGCAGAGGCCTGTCGGCTGTAGTTGTTGATTCTCCCAAATCGGGCCCCGCCTCCAAGTTCTTGCTGACCGGGTGATCCTCAGTAGGCCCGCACATTGGAGCCACATGCCACTGGCTCGTTCCCTGTCCTGGAAAGCTCAGCCCAGTCCTGAGCGTATTAGCACCCCTCTGCATACCAAACCTGCCCAAACCAGCTTCAGCGCAGCTCTGGGAATGCGGTTTTCAAATCACTTTAGTGTTGTAGTCTTAGAGTGGTAATTCACAGCCGGCTTTAAGTCCTGGTGTCAAGCAGGGTTTGCTTTTAAAGCGCTCACTTGCCCTCTCCCTTCCGCCTGTTGGGAGTCCTCTCTCCCGTGGGTGGTGGCCCCGGCCCCTTTGGCGCAGAGCAGAGCAAGGTGTAGGGGCTGCGCCCGAGCCAGCAGGTCCCGGAGGGGGCTGCGCAGGCTCAGTGCCTCTGCCCTTCTCGTTCGCTGCAGAAATGCATGGAAATGAAGAATACCATCCTGGCCCGGCAGAAGGAGATGCACAGCTCCCTGGAGAAGGTCAAACAGCTGATCCGCCTCATCCACGGCATCGACCTCTCCAAACCCGTAGACTCTGAGGCCAATGTGGGGGCCGTCTCCAACGGCCCGGACTGCACCCCCCCTGCCAACGCCGCCACCTCCACGCCGGCCCACTCCCCCTCGTCCCAGAGCTGCACAGCGAACTGTACCCAGGGGGATGAGACTAAATAACAGAGCCCCGCAAGGAGAAGCCACGGGATCCCGGCGGCAAGGAGAGCAAAAACACTGAAGACTCTAGAAAAGCAAAGCCGGATTTCTTCTGGAAAGTGCAGAATTCTTTTGGTTCTTTGGTTCCAGAGAGAGAGGAGATGCTTGTGCCAGGTGGCACCGGAGTTTGCCAATTGATCCTTCTTATTCTGTGTGTACATGCGAAGATTGGACCATGTTACATGAAATAGTGCCAGCTGGAGGTTCTTTGCCAGCACCATGCCAAGTGAAATAATATATTTACTCTCTCTATTATACACCAGTGTGTGCCTGCAGCAGCCTCCACAGCCACCGTGGGTTTGTTTTCGTTTCGTTGGGTGGGGAGCAGGGACGGGCCGAGGGAGGAGAGCAGGTTTCAGACCCTTATTTGCCGAGCCGTTTGTTTAGGTAGAGAAGACGAGTCCAAAGAGTGTGTGGGCTTTCCTGTTTCTAAACTTTCACTACTATAAAACCAAAAAAAAAAAAAAAAAAAAAAAAAAGAAATCGAGATTTAACCAACCCCAGTGCCCAGAGGAGGGATGGGAGGGACTGGGAGGGAGCCGGGGTGGGAAAAATATATCAAATAAGCAGTATTTCATACCGTCTGGGGAGGGGCCAGGTGCACGGAGAGGTGGGCGGCCAGAACAGCCGCCGGCTCTTCTCCCGGCACCCCACTTCCCGCCGCGGGCGCCCCTGCCGCTCCCCGCGTTCCTTCCCTGCTTTGGCAAATTGGCGCGCATCCCCGCAGGTGATCCGGTTACCTTCCCTCTCCAAGAAGGAGCAGGGCCAGCCTCTGCTGGCCTGGCCTTTGCCCGGGCAGGGAAGAAGGGTGTATGTGTCAAGGAAGGAAAAACGGTGGATCAGTGATTTTTACTTGAAAACAAGCTCCATCCCTTTTCTATATTTATAAGAAGAGAAGATTCTGAGCGAAGCAGCACGCGACCCAGGTGTGTGTGAATTGAATGGAGATGTTTCTTTCCTCTTTTTTTAAATTTTTGTTTTTTTTTTTCCTTTAAGAAGAAGTTTTATTTTGTTGTTTACTTTACTTTTTTGGTAACAAAAACTAAAATAAGGAATAGAAAAGCTGTTTTTCAGGCTGACAGTCAATTAAGGGTAGTCGAGGCCGTGCATGGTAGAATAGGAATCATAGTGTCAGTGAGGTCCAGTGAGTCCGTGTGAGTCCTGTGTCATCGTTCGGGGCACTGTTTTTATGCAAGGGCAAAAAATCTTTGTATCTGGGGAAAAACAACAACAACTTTTTTTTAAATTAAAAAGGAAAATAAAAGATATTGAGGTCTTCCTAGTGTTACTTAAATTAAGATCAAGGTAAGAAACATTGTAAAAAAAAATTACAAAAGTGCTATTTGTTTCCTAAAAACAGTGATTTCTATTAAAAAGGTGTCAGAACTGGAGAAAATGCTGTGTAGTTATAATTTTTTAGCACAGAACCTGCTGATCATGATGACATTTTGCTGTGTTTGTGTCTCAAGCCTGGTGGGCTAGTCTCCATGACTTCTGTCCTCTGGACGCTGCAGCCCTGAGGGGCAGCGCGAGCACTCCCGCCACCCTCCCCTCCTCGGAAAGGACTGTCCTCTCTTCTTGGAGCAGGGGTCTGGGCTTCTGTTTTCAAAGCTCAAATGGAGTGTGGATGGCATCAGGGCCCTCCCCTCCCCATTGTCTCCTCAGATTTTGCTAGAGCAAAAGGCTGGTGCCTAAATAAGATCCCTTCCTTTGGTGCTGCTTTCAGTCTTTCAGCCACCAGCATTGTGAGTGCCTGGGGGACAACTTGGAAGGACTTGGCCAGTGACGAGAGAGCTTGCCGGGAGGGGGCAGGGGGCAGGCTGGCTGCATCAGCCTTTGGTGCTTAGAAGGAACAAAGGAGTGCGATGTTTTGAGGGTACGTGGTGTCTCGGGAGACAGAGAGCCCCAGGGCGGGCTGTGTCTGTGTTGCCTTTGAAGAGGTCTGAGTCTCCAGCGCTTTCTCTGCTGGCTCCCCATACGGGAGATGGAGTTTCCCGCCCTGTGCGCATTCACAAGCTTCCCGGGTGGGGGGGCCTGTGGCTGGAATCCCTGTGCTTGCCTTGGCTTGGCCTGGCCTGTCTCCTTCTTGAGAAAACCAGGGTTCTGAAAGACTCGGATCTTTTCTGTCGTCTTGACTTGTGGGAAGTAAACTTGTCAGGCATGTGCTCCCGCCCGAGATCTTGGCCCCATCGCATGCCTGGGCCGACAGAAGGAAGGCAGGCGCTCTGTGCCCCAGCCCTCCGGGAGCCTCTTCTCGCCAGCCTGCCCCAGCCCGCCCCACTACTCCCTGATGGCCAGGGTCTAGGAGGGGCAGGAAAGGTCCCAGGTCCCGTTAGTCTCTCCCTCACCCATTTAGGCCCAGATAATCCCAGTTAGAAGCCCGAAAGCAAATGCAAGAGGAAGAGACACTTCTTAGGTCAAATATGCCTCGTGTCCACTGGCCGTTTCATCTTCCCGGGAACGTTGGGTTACGGGTGGCCCTTCAGGCCTCAGAGTCGGACCCTGGCTGCAAAGCTGCCTGAGGGGGACGGAGGAGCTCCCTTTTCTCCTGCAGAAACCAAGGTGCTACGTCTAGTCAGGGAGCTTCGGAGGTGCCCGGACTAGTCGGAGGAATAGTTGGCAGAGGTTGCGAGCCCCGCAGCAGGCTGTGTGCCCGCTCCCCGAGTGCTCCCGTTTGACTTGTCGGGGCCACACGATACTGTCTTGTCTGAGGGAAGTTCAGAAACGATCATCACTGGAGGCCTTTGCTCAGAAAGGAGCCGCCTGAGAATAGGGGGTGGGGGTGGGTGGGCTAGAGCTTTAGGAATCGACCAGTATTTTGCCTGCTGCTGTGAGTACTCACACCCTGGCCTTGCCTGGGGTTGGGACAGGGATTCTTCCTGAAGTGCAGACGCGAGCTGTTAGCGTAGACTACAAAATGCATCCCTGCCCCCAGACCCACACTCTAGACTCCCAATTCCAAAACTCTACTTAACTGCCAACAAGAGGCCCCCGGTCACCCCCAGCTCCTTTCCCTGTACTGTCCTGCCAAGACAAGACCCCTCTCTCTGTCCCCCAGACCCGTGGGTGCTGGTGACGACCAGAGACACACACTCACGACCGCCTCCTTGCCTCGCCGCCCCAAGCCCGGTGTTAGCTGCTCCAGCCGCATCTCCGACCAGCTGGCTGTGCAGTCACGTAAAGGGGCTGGTCTGGGACTAGGAGGCGGCCGCCCTGGAGCTGGTGGCACGGGCCTCGCACCCTGGAGGCGGTGAGGTCCTGTTGCCGTCATCTTCCCACCTCCCATTCTTGCCAATGCCGCCCGCAGGTCCTTTTTCTTTCATGGGGTCTGCAGGCTCCTGTCTCTCCTCTGCTGAGCTCAGCCGGAGTTCTGCTTCTGCCTTCCTATCCGGCCCGTGGGGGCAGCCCCAGGGGGCGCCATCCCTGTGTGGGGCTGCCAGGCACCGTTGGAGTGCCGGTTCCCCTGCAGGGCCTGCCTGTCCCTGCTGCTGCTTGGCTCAGGCTCAACAGGCGGCGTGAGAGGGCACAGCGGCCGCCCCCACGCCTCTCCCTGTACAGGAGGGGACTGTTTCCAGCTCACTCGGTGTGGGCTGCGTGTACCGCTGCCCCTCCAGCCATCTCTGACACTTCCTCTTGGGACCAGGGGAGCCCCTCTCGGCTCTCATCCCGATCTCTAAGCGGTTTCCTCCCTTCACTCCCTTTTAGGGCGTGGTCTTTCTTATTTATCCAAAGGGCTTAATTTAGGAGACTTTTACCCCAGGGGTAGAAGGCTCTTCTGGGTAGTAGGATGGACGGTGGGCCCAGGGAATTTCAAGGCCCTGGGTTCTCTGGATTCCATGGCTTCCACTGGTTAGGGGCACCTCTGCTCTGTGTAAATGACCGAGGGCCTCACCCCCACCCCTCAGCTGGGCACCCTTGGCAGGAAACAGGAGACCCGTTTTCACCCTGACTTACAGCCGTTCTCAGTGCCAGCTCCTCTCCAAGGGAGGGGGCGGCCCCGGAGAAGATTCCTCTGGCCCTCTGGCAACAGTGAAGGGGAGGAAGCTGGGGGTCGCCCCCTCCAGAGAGTCAGGGTGGAACTCTTAAAAACAGCCCTCGTAGAGGAAGGGCAGGGCTCACAAATTCCACTTTGCTCCCCCCTCCCCCAAGGCCCTTCTGCACTGAGGTCTCTGCCGTCCCCCACAGCAGGCTCTGGCCCCTGCGCCTGTGTCGTCGGGTCCTCAGCCCAGGGTGAGCTGCAGTCAGGCAGGGCAGGGCAGGGCGGGCAGCCAGAGGTCAGCAAGCTCGGAGCAGAAAAGAGCCAGCCAGCCCCCAATCCTGTCTCTTGTCCACACCCTTTGTGATTTCAGTCTTGGTAGAACTTGTATTTGGAGTTTTGTGCTTCAAAGTTTTTGTTTTCGTTCGTTTCATTTTTGTTTTGAGGGGGTGGGGGGGGATCCAGAGCAGCTGATCAATTTGTATTTATTTATTTTAACATTTTACTAAATAAAGCCAAATAAAGTCTCTGAGCCTCATGGTGTTGGGTTTGGGGCAGGGGAGGGTGGGCAAGACACGCTCCGGTCCCGGCCTCCGAGGGAGGGTCCCGCCGCTCCTGCGACTCCAGGGAGACTCAGCACCTTCCCGGCCCACCCACGCCCTCATGCCCCAAACCAGAAGGAACATGCAAAAGGGCTTTAAAAACTTTAGTTATGAAAAAGAGACATACACTTGAGGAGAGGGGAACCAGCCCCCAAACAGCTGGGGCACAGCGAGACCAGACCCCAGCCACAGCAGCACGGGGACCTGCCCAAGCCCTTTCCACTGACACCTTCAATAATTTAAATAGCAGGGAGGGAGGGAGGGGTGGCAAGTTTGCTCCAGTGTCTACAGGGAGTGCGCGAGAGCCAAGGTTGGGGGGCAGGGGTGAGCCACAGGCCCCGGGGAGGTCAGGGGGCGCCTCGGGGCTGCTGCAGGGCAGTGAGGTATTTGAGGGCAGCAGCCCCGTAGTGACGGGACAGGTCCTGGTGAAACTCGTCCTTCAGGGCCTGGAGGCAGTCACGATAGGTGGGGCTGGAGCGGAAGCGAGAGATGTCAAGGCTTGGGGCATGTGGCAGGTGGATGGTGAAGGCCTCGGGCAGCACCAGGAGCTCATATTCCTGCAGGGGTGGGAGGCAGATGGACGTTCTGGGCCGGGGGGAAGATTACAGCTCTGGGGGTTGGGGAGCAGGCTTGCTCGATAGCCCCTCACAGCCAAGGTAAGGGTCAAAGGGCAGACGATTTCGAGTTCTACGCCAAGGTGGAATTTCTAACGGTACTGCCTAATGGTGCGCTTGCCGTGCTGAAGCGTAGTGAGCTCCCTGGGCCTGGAGGTATTCAGATTGAAGAGGCAGCAAGCACGCCCTCACCTGTGCATCCAGCTCCACGATGTGGGCCACCTTGTTCCAGCCGAACCCCACAAATCGGGGGTCGTAGCGGGGACAGTCACGAGGCACCACTACGTAGGGCTCATAGTCAG